ATCGTATGTTAAAGAGCCTTACACTTATGTTAATGCACAGGGATTACGGTATGCCAGAAGATTGTGTAAATTCTGATATTTGATTGTAAATTCATCGATGACTACAAGTTCTTTAATGTTATTACTCATTGGCTGTCTCTTACTAGCAATCACGATAGACTAAAGTCTTTTACCGGGGATATTTTATGACCACAATGAGATATTTAATCTTTTATTTAGTCAATAGGCTTCACAGGTTTTTCTATTCATTGAATCAGTCAGTTTAATATTGAAGGAGAGCAGAACTACCCGTTTCTGGCTAATGTGAGGGTCTTCCTCGGCTTGTCTGGGCTACCGCGGCTTTGCAAAATTCATAGTGTAGCCATTATTCTGTTACATGATTATAGGTACTGGAGAATAAGTGCATGTTTTCAGTGCCTAGTATGTTACATACCGTATGTTTTCACTGTAGGCTATTAATTGTGGATTGCAAGCATTTATGTTAAGACGTTTTATCTGTAGCTTTAGTCGTCCACCAGTTGTGCAAACTTCCATAAGTGGATTTCAAGATGGTGTAATCTAAGGCAGTTTATGATGCCCACCCATTTCTTCCTAGGTCTACCCGTTAGTATTCTGTTACATGACTTAGCAAAGCGCGCTGATTCTGAACGTTTTCCTGCAATAATCTGAGCACCCACCAACGATTCGGACAAGGAGCGGTTTGAAATTTTGATTGCGGTGTTCTAGCGCTTATTGAACTTCGTCGCACGATTCATTGTTTGAAGGAAGGTTATGTCTACTGCTTATTTCCCAAATCGCGTTCTTTCAGCCAGACATAACATGGTAAGGGCAGATACGCAGGTTGCCTTGAAATGAGGTAGCTGAACACAACAACTCATACACTTCTTCATCTATATAGGGAGGTTTTGCTCCCGCATTGCGCGTTGGTCTCATTAATAAGCTTATTTTTACGTCCTGTTTGTCATCATTCTTAATTAGTGCCTGAACATGCTTCGACTGTTCTGCCTTCCTCTCTTTCACGATCCTACCTGTACTGAATGACCCTTGTTGAGGATACGAACACATTTGCTTAAATTAAGATCATTTTCATTTTGGGCTGATTGCATGTGGCTGCAAGCATTCAAGTGCCTGTTGGAACCAGCTTTAAAATAAGCTCGTGTCACTCAGTTGAATATCTTTAAGTGTGATGTATTGCATTCTTAAGACTTCTGTAGTTATTCTTTATACAATTATAATATTAGACCGTGTATAGTTAATATTATGTAAAAACAGTGTTGCGCATAGTGCAATATATTAGTAGAAAGTAGGATTATTACGATGTTAATACTGTGAAATTCTTGTGCACTTTATGTCATATCGAATCACAATTTGGTATACTTTATGTTGTACAGTATTTTGTATTCTTGCTTATATCTGCATATTTGTAATAATTTGGTTTAGATCGTTGAGTGATCGCCAGAAAGCGGTGATTACAGTATATGCCGAAATGGAAAAGGATACGGAAGGTTCGATACGAGGTGTAACATCTACTGCTGACGGTAGGCATATTTTTAATTGGTATTTACTTTGGATACTCTCTGTCATACTATTCAGATGCTGTTTGTGAAAACCAAAGTAGTTTAGTCCGGTTGACAGTAAGCTTGCAGGTTAAATTTCAGCGTTTGTTTACCTTATGGAGAATGAACGGTTCGCCTTCGCTACAGCTTGACAAATTTTCCTATTCAGTGCAATATTACATCATCGGATGAAAGATCGTGGGTTTGAACCTTGGTTAATTTACTCACCTTTCTTCCTTCTGAAATAGATAATCGATTTCAAATTTTTGAAAGTTAAACAAGAGGTTACAGCGCTAGTGAAGCTGTAGGTATACTCTTAGAAGTCGAAAGGAACAAGACATTCCTGACTGGCTTAGAAATTGAGATTAACGCCACACAAGGAACCTTATGAAAAATGGGGTCACAGATAGCGTCAATGATGAAATTGTAAAGAGGCCTACATCCCATCCCAGTAGGGATAATGCATATTTTGAGATTTCTGCAGTCTGATACGAGAGGAATGTTTCTTTCTTAGATGTAAATGAAGCAATCATCATACGGTGTTTTGCGTCATTCTTGTTTCGATTTTGCTTCTTTTATTTATTATGACTGAGCTTCTGTATCTGTGATCTGACAAGCATGAGGTTTTCGTCGCGTTAACAACAACTTCAAGAGAAAGAACGATGAAGCATTATAGTCGTTTCTCACTGTCTTAAGCACCTTGTTCATTGATAATAATAATGCTGTAATTAAGTTCATACGCTAGACACGGTCATCACCACATAGCCCTCACGCATTCTGCCTCTTAAACACGCCAGCTACATTCTATTGTACTCTGAAAAAAATATTGGATTCGATTATTCTTATTAAAAGCTCGTTTCGCAGTACTCGAAGTTGTTTGATTTTTTAAGAAACCTGTGATATTGTTGTGCATGAGAAAGAAGTATTTGCAAAATTGTCCCAGTGCAGGTTCTTAAAAATGTAGCGGGTTCGAATTGAATGAGGAAACGGAAACGAACTTCATTTCGTTGCGACTGTCTGTGTTATTTTTGTGCGCATGTCTTGCTGTTTTAGTAAAGAAACGGTATTTATTTACAAACCGAGAAAACCAGAAAAATAGTTTTTTGTGGGAAGTTTTCGGCTGTCTAAATGATGATTCTTCTGTTCAAGAAGTTCCTCACCGAAGTAAATATTTTTCCAGGTTCTTCACCTTTTCTTTGATTATCAATTGTAAGTAAGGGCCTATTTTAGTGTCAGTATGTTTTTTATTACTTTAAGGTTTTTCAGAAAAAAGCCGAAGTAATGATTCTGCTGTTTTAATTGAGAAAACTTTTTGGACATAACACATTTGATACCGAATATCACAACTTATGTTTGCAAAAAATGTATTATAGCAGGCTAACCCAGAAAAGTAGAATGAAACCGAATGAATTGAAATCTCGATAAAAAGCTCGATAATCAACTTATTGCCCACAAAAAGAGTTAGTTATAGTTTGCTTAAGGTCCTTTACATTTCTATCTTAATTTTTATGTGTAATGTATGTATATTTCTTTGGTTTGATTGATTTTATGATTTCTGAAGTACAGAAATATCATCAAATCGGTTTTTAAGATACGAGGGAAAAGGCGAATGTCGTAGATGATAGTAGTAATGGATTGCTAAGTAAAATCAAAAGAGCAATTTTCGGGTAATTTTCGTTTTTTTCTATTGGATACTTTAACATGGTGGCGTTTAGGTAAAAAAATTGCGGTCGAAGACCCAGACGGTTGCATAACGAAGATTCGACGTGTTGTTAATTCCGGACTGCAGCCCGAGGGCATCGGCAAAAAGGTTGCTGAAGACATAGACGAATTGAAAACGGACACATAAAAAGTTTTCTGGCGGTCAGCGGTCATCTTTTGCCGCTAAAATGATTGATTTATTGGAGCGTTTTTTGTTTGTCTTAACTGCCGTATGTGTTGAAACGCTTCAATCGATGTTTGCGTGTTGCCTGAAATTTGATGATGCTCCGTTTCGTTTTATACATCCAGTCATACTTTCTGAATTTTGAGTTGTTGCCATTACGCTTTATTTCAGATTACTGTAGACGATGTTATGATCCTTCTGTTCAAGCTGGATAGTTGGTAAACGTTCTCAATTTAGGTTCGATAGAAAGTAGGGGAAGTTCATAGGCATCGCTTTTATGAGCTTGAGGGCAGAGACATTCAGAAAATGACAATTCTGAAAATCGCGTTCAATGGCGAATTGAGCAAGTTTCTAGTGAAAGTATAAAACCGAGCGTAGCATGCCATCAACTTTCCAAGTAATCAGCTACTGCTTGATTGTTTGTCTGCTTGATCATACTGCTGACTAAACATTTGCAAATGAGATGACTAGAGGCGGAAAAAATGTGATTGTCAATGGCCGGGAACCTAGTGATACTAATATTACTAACTTATTTTTATACCGTAGGCTATGAAATCACATCGTTAATAAAGGAAATAGAAAATCAAAAGTATTGATTGGATTTTAATGATTAAAAAAACTTTCAGATAAACGTTGATGTTTTCCAGAAAGTGTATATTTCGTTCGTTGAAGCTGGAATTTGTACCCATCATTAGGTGGATAGTAGCCAAATTGTTAGATTCTGGTGATCGGATTCAAATTATGCATAGTGCATCAATATGGCAACCGTATGGGAGTTGTTAGCAAGCAGGACTTAGAACTTAGTCACAGGGCTTTACTTGCAAGCACGGTGCTCATATACAAATCACAACAACTGTCTACACGATGTATGATATACATAATAATCTCGTTTTAACGTTGACTGGATTTGTAATACGCGTGCAGTTTTTTTGTCTATCTTCGGGGCTTAATCCATGTTAACTTCCGGGACAAGGTGCACCTTTGTCATGCGGAAGGCAAGTGTTCCCTCTTGCTCAACCCACGTTTTCGGTCCTTTGTTAAGAGTGATTGCTTTCTCCTTTGTTCAGTCCACGCAATCGGTCTTTTGCCTCTCTCACGCTTGAGGTGGCCTGCGGGGATCTCGTCCAATTGCCCCGCTACAGACGGTCATTGGTTACTGTTGTTTTATGGCCACTTTTTATACGGTACTGGCAGTCACTGCAACGAAGATGCTAAATACATTGCGTTACAATGTTAAGTAACTGGTTTTAATTACCTTCTTATGTATTAATTCTGAATGGTTACCTGTAGATAATAATTACTAGACGGTTGCTTATTGCGTCATCGCGCGTTTCTTTCAATTATTTGAAGAGAGTCCATGATCTGGAGAATCATGAGTAGAGTGTCATTCTTTCATCTCATTATTAAGAATGTTTTCACAGGCAGCAGATGCATTAAACCGAATGAGTGACAAAAGCAAAAAACTAGATAGCCATCACAGATATGTATATTATGTTATTAGATCTGTCAAAACAGAATGACACCGACTATTGTCATTAAGCAGTTTAAGACTGTCTACGCAATAACCGAAACTTCAGCGGCCGTTTGCTAATTCAATTTGCAATTTTACTGACAGAATGCTCCGGGCTTCTTTTTTTAACATAATAAAGGCATTGCGATGACATTTTTTCACCATCTATGATCAAGGAAAATTTTTATTCAGTTATCAGATGGTTCAAAGAAAATTTTAACCGTAAATCATGGTTTCGACTTTAACCATGCGCTTCTAAGATTTACAGAAATCGCAGGCCAATTGTGACACTGTTTGCGTATACATGGGCCATTTGAGATACGCAATCATTGAAATATTGAGTAGTCACAGCTGCAATGATTTGGGCACTTGCCGTGAATGTCTCCAGAAAGGAAAACTAAGCAATTACTTCTTGCCCAACCGATCGGCAGAAGTCCCAGGGGCCGGCCGAAGATCAACCGTGCACAAATATGGGTAATGAGTCTGTTCCACGCTCCAGTTGTTTTCTGCCGTAATAGAGCCTGGCACAAGGTCGGAAACGCTAGTAGTACTGTGTGACTCGTCTTCCTTTGCGACCCGAATAGAGAAGCGGTAAAGGAAAATGAAGATATAGACCTGAATTATATTAGAGACACATGATAGAGGTTGAATTGAATTGAACTCTGTCCATGAAGGATCTAATTAATTCACGAAGACGAAAAAAATGGAAAGTGTCTCTCAATTGATACCAAAGTACACAGAGAATGTGGGGCATGAGAAGGCGCAAAGTGAACACTAAACGTTTCAATTCTTACATAATACGATCCTTCAAGATCGATCAGACTGTGTTTTGCCCATAACTTTTATAAAGCAAACCGGAACCAATGAACAGCAAGAATCATAATTCAAAGAATATTTAGGAAATTCTGACTTCTCAGTGATCGTTACCAATGTGTTTAAGCGAATACTTGAACTCATTTGAAACGAATTTGAATTCATATCGGAACAGAAATCTCAAATTAAGCGTTTTGCTATGTCACAATGTAAGAGAATAATATATCTATTCATCTACTTGCAGGTGTTTGACTAAAATTACATTTTTTGAGATTATGCTCAGGTTCAAGTTCAATCTGTATGCTATTCACAATCCGAAAGATAATGCTCATTTCTGGTTCTGCTCCATGATCAGCAATGGGGCTTTCAGGCGCAGAATTTATATATTGTTATCTAAACACTAAAAAATTGTTGTTTATTTAACTTAAGTGAAAGTTCAAAAACTTCATTCTAATTGCAATGTTTAGTTCCTCTGAAAACCGACCCTATGGCCATGGGTCAGACACAGACGCGAACTTCAAAGAAAGTAAAGCATAGATATGTATCTAAATAATTAGCACGTGCGAAAACGAAGCGGAGTAATATTATTGTTCAAACTCAGAAAAATGAACTAGAAGAGCATTTAAAAATAAGAGGAAGCTTAGTGCAACTGTATCAATAATAAGGTACACTTAATTATTCGTCAGGCTAAAGGACATTAGATTCTACAAATGATGAGTAGGTAAGAAATGAAATTTGCCATGTTATAGGTGACGCATTGTGTCGCGGAAGACGGTTGAAATCGGTGAGCTGAAAGTAAGATGATGTCCGTGGAGGGGCAAACGACAAATTCAGTTATTGAAGACAGTAACGCAAATTGTACGAGTGGTCAGAGAAACGAGGAAGAGAAGAGCACCGCGGCGGCGGCGGCAGCAGCGGCGCAGATGCTGCAGCTGGGACCGGATGTTTCCGGTGGGGGCAGCGGCAGCGGCGGCGGCAGCGGCGGGTTGTCGGAGAGGAAGGATGTATGCCGAGATTTTTTGAATAATGTGTGTTTTCGTGGGTCGCGCTGTAAATACTACCATCCGCCTGACTTGGCGTTGAAGTACGACCAGTCGAGGAAGGAGGATAAGATTCAGTTTTGCAAGGACTTTCAAAACAAGGGTTGCACGCGAGATGCTTGCAAGTATGTGCACGCGAGTTGGGAAGACCGAGAAGACTACGAACGCCATGGTCGTGTGTCGGATAGCCTGGCGCGGGCGATTGTCGCTGCCACAGGTCAGGAGGTGATCGACGGCCGACCGTTGTGCAAAGAGTTTTTGTCGGGTCATTGTTCGCGCGGTAGTCGTTGTCGTTTTTGGCATATCAACCCTCGGTTGGAGCGCGAGTCCCAGCGCATCGCAGCGGCGGTCATAGGTGGAGGTGGAGTTGGCGGGGGCAGCAGTGGTTCCCCGTTACCTCGTCACTATGATAATGGTAGCGGATCTTACGGATCTGCACCTGTGGCAGCGGCGGTGGTAACGGCAACGACCATGCCGCCCATTTCACCATATGTCGCGACAGCGGTCGTTGGGGGACCGTCGCATTACGACAATGTCGATTACCGGCAGCACGTCGTCGAGTATGGCGGCGGCGGCGGCAAGCGTATGAGGCTGCGCGATGACTCTATGGCTATGTCGGCGGCGGCGGCGGTGGTAGCGGCACCCAGCACTCCTTATGTGTGCCCCAGCGGCGGAGGCGGCTGTCGAACGGGTCAGGGCTCGACAGAGGATCAAAGTGATGGCAGCTATGCGGCGCTACTGGAAGAGAACGTA